CACACACACACACACACAGGCACAGCCTAGTTCAACTGCTGCTATCCTCAGAGAAAGCATGAAGGAGCTATCCCATCATTCGGAGAATGAATGTTTGACATTGAGGTCGACGTCGTGGTAGCCATTTAATGACTTTAATTATCGCCGTCCACCAACGAATCACGATGCCAGATCGAGCGCGCATGGGCCGTGTACCTAAGGGTCGAATTTGTATTGATTTGCGCTGAAGCAGACCCGTGCCACTTGCGATTGTGGAAGGGCTGTCTGTTTTTTGTACTGGAATTGAAGTCGTGCCGGATCTCACGGCTGTCGATTGCTGGCTGTCATGAGCTCTTTGGCCTGGCGCCTTTTGTCGAAGCATCGGTGGGCTGCGTTGTCTGCCAGTCCTTGGCCATCCTGCGCGGTGGCCACCGCAGAAATAAGAAGGTAGCAGTCTTGGCTTGTGAAACCGTAGTTCAATAAACGCGGCAAGGACGCTGAAAGCTAGGCCTGGTGTTGCCAAACGCCTACAAGTGTGCACTGTCAGTGACCATTCACCGCGTGGTAGTGATATAGCCACGGTGGCAAGAATTCGCCACAATCTGAGTGAGCGTACATCTCATATATATACATATATAGATATGTATNNATATGGTGCAGCACTGCTAGGCCCCCCCCATGGCATCCAAGATGGTGATCATGATCCCCGTCCGCATGCTCGGGCTGACTTGAAACTGAGCATGAATGACAACGCTCGATACACACTGCGAAAACTAGGAAAGAACATCAAGCCAAACAAGCTTTTGAAGCAAGCAAAAGCAAAGAGCATGTGGTACCTAAGGGCATAAGAGCACTGGTGCGGCCAAACAGTACGAAATACCAGCATGTAAGAAGCACATCGCCGTCATTGTCCTCAGCATCATCGCCATCATTCTCATCTGTATGGGCGGGGGTGCACGATTCTGCGCGAGAGTTACAAAAGAACGTCGACAGGTGCAAGCTTAATAACGCGGACGAGCACCATCCCTGTGACTGTTTGCTCGGATGAGAGGCCTGGCTTGGCTGCTGTGGGAGAGGGTGGGGGAGCATACGATGGAGGGGATGGCTTTGGGAGCGGGAAATAATATATATATATATATATGTACACATACACACATACATACATACATACATACATACATACATACATACATATTGTGTATATATATATATATATGCATATGTATATGCGCATATTCTCACACATGTGCGCATGCACTTGTTGGCTTCTTCAAGGCCCAAGAGTCTCAGGTAGTAAGTACTTCGTTTGCTAGCAGGATGAGGGCGTTCCCTGAAGAAACGAAACAACGACCATGCCTGATGTTGCTGCGATGTAGGCTGGGGGTTCAGGGTTGCTGAGCACTAAGTGAGGTTTACATGTTTCTGAGCCTCATCTACTGCTTCTTCGATACCTGGACGAACACCTCCTGGCCCTACTACTACTGGGCCGCTTGGCTCTGTTTTGGTCAGCGGCTTGAAGTGATCCCGTGTCTCGATTTTGGTGCGATAGAGCCAGGCCAAGATACCCTGCAAACTAAATCGCCCTACGGCTCAAGCTTGCATCACCTGCGTGGTTGCTGAAGTCGCTGTGGCCTTATGCATCGATTTTCATTCAATGCCAGCCTGCATGGTGCAGTTCTGGCATCGGGCACCGCCGAGATAGGGAACTCCTCGAGTTTGGGAAACGCCTCGGAGGCCACCTTGATCCTTTGCCGATGGGCCGGGCTCTAGCTCCAATACCATGACGCTGCCGACGAAGGTGGAGATCACCGCTGACGTGGCATCGTGGCTCCAGCTCCGCCGGCATGGGCGGTTCCACCTCCGGCCTCAGGGGATTTTGCCCGCGCCGCGATCAAGCGGTGCCAACAGCCGCAACGTCTTTTGCGCCGATCTGAAATCTATACATGTTGGTGAGTGCTGCGAATGCACTGAAGTTGTGAAGCAAAACAGCTTTAATGCGCGATGGCACCCTTGGATGGGCAGATTCTGTTCCCGATCGTCACGAAAGAGAAATCTCATTGCAGCACACTTGCAGGTCCCATGGCAATGAGTGGGAGCCTTCGAGCCCTTTGATGCGAAAGCACACCGCAGGGCGCTAGACGACGTCCTCTCGCTTGCGACGACGGCCTTGCTGTTACGTGCGATCTTTAATGTTGAGCGAAGTATTGCTGCATCCTAGCATCGATCTGCTTCAGGGTTTCAGATTGTGCGTGACCTAGTGGAAGTCCGGCTTGAAGCCCTCGAAACACCATGAAACATCCAGTTGAAGAGGCCCCATGTTCTGGTCCCCTGCCATGGGAGGCAAAAGAGCACCTTGAGAGTATGAAGTACAAAAGCAGGTGTTTGGTGTTTGTTTCGATAGGCTGAGAACCGAATCAAATCTGGAAAAGTCACAAAGTCGAAAAGTTTTCGTTGTAAAGGGGGGCGGAAAATGTTTTCCTGCGCACCTGTGCTTGTCGGTACTTCTCGGGGTTTTAGGCTTTTCGACTTGTCGGGGTTTTGTCTGCGCGGTTCGCACTTTTCGGGGTATTTTTGGTTGACTTCTCGCGCGTTGCTGCGCTGCAACTCCAAAGCAGGGAGTTCTGGTGCTTGTGGATGGAAGCCTCGCCTGCTTTGTCGAGTGTGAGTGCTAAAAAAACTCCATCTTTGCAGGCCTTTGAGGCCGGGATGGGGCTCGGGGTAGTAGCAGCCCGCGGCTGTAGACCCATGGAAAGCGGCCCAGGAGATCATCCCGGAATTCCAGCTCCATGGGCTGAAGCCTGGCCACGAGCACGTGACTATCAGGAGTGTTTTTGACTTTCGACCTTGGCCTGGAAACCCGGACGGTCTCAGCATAAAAGCGAAAGGTCCAGCTTCGGGCTGCGCCCACCGCACTCTCAAGCCATAGCTGCCATGGCTGCCATAGCTCTCAAGCCTTCCGTCAGTGATTATGCCATCGAGTGGCATGTCACGAGCTCAGGATCGGTCTCATCAGACTCCTAGGACCGGCAAGTCCACTTCTGCAGCCTGAGCCTGGCGAGCCCGGACTTCTCGAGAGTCTGAGCACCAAAAGAGAGGACCCTTTCGCCTGATCAGCTCTTACGGCGTTTTTCCTCCCGAAGCTCTGCCTCAGGCCGGCAGAAGGAGTTAAGAATTAGAGTTTAGTTTTTTGAGATTTCTATGTCACATCCACAAGGACCGGCAGCGCAGTTCCTTCCCCAGGCTGCTTTAAGCCTTCGGACCTGCCCCAGGTGCGCACTACCTTGGTGTACGAGGGCAGCCAGGATGGCACCTCGGGATGAAGGATCGGTAATTGTCGCCGCTACTTACTACTTCATTCGTTTTTGCACGGGTGGCAACTAGTTTTCCCGGCAAGGACAGAAAGGGCACATCCTCTGCAGCCATTTGACCATCTCAGCTTCGTCCTAGCTGGGCCTTTGAGCCGTTCGCGGCCGCTGGACTTGACAGGGGAGGGGCTTCTGCATGCGGCTTTCAGAGTTTTGGGTTGAGTGGGTGGCCTGGCAGCGTGGAGCTCAATGGAAGAGGGCCGCGTGAGGAAGCAAGACAAGCTTTTTCAAGCTAGATGCTTAGCCAACTGTTCTTGCCACGCCCGACCAGCCTGACCCGGAGCGGGCTGCGAACTGCAAACCGCTCGGCTGCAGCTCAGGGGAAAGCGAAGATGGCAGACGCGGAGAAACTGCCTCCCCTGGATGATGACACCGATTCTTGGGCCTAATGCCAATGCCTGGTTATGAAACGCTGACAAGAGACACATTGACATCAAGTTTGAGCTCTAGACCTAGGCCGTATACAACCAGCACGTGCATGAGCCCTCAAGCTGGAACGCTAGCAAGGATGCAGACCCTGTTTGGCTGGTCCGGGTTATGGTTTTCCTCGGAAGCCAAAGCATCGCCGAGGCTAGCGGGCCCGAGTGCCTGGAAGCCCCCAAGGCGCGGGCATGGGCCATTGGGCCATCGGCCATCATGACCCGTCAAGAGCATGTTTGGATCTGACCCAAACCTCTCAGGGCGCGGTGAAGATCTCGCCAGGGCGGTTTTGGCAAGCTCGTGCGGAGGAGCATGTGTCTTTCCCGCACAGGAACATGTTTTTCTTATGCCGATGGACTGAGTTTCGGAGATGGTGCCAGCCATCTTGGTTTTTGCCTCTTGTGGTTCGACCTTTGGGTAAAATCCGTTGGAGTCATGCGCGCACGATGATTGCCGATGCCACCCGCGGTAATACGAACACAGGGCGTTGCGTGATCATCGCAAAAAATCTTTTGAGCAGTCGACTTCCGCCACAATGAACTGGACGAGGTCCACGTCAAAGACGGGCATGCCGACTCCACCGACAAGATGCTGCAGAAGCAAGCTGCTTCGCTGAGTATTGGCAGTGATTCGCCAGGTGACACGTTTGCTTTAGGCATCAGATTGAGATGTATGACGTAGCAATCCTTGTGTCAGTCTGAAAGGCTCTTGTCAATGCTTGGCGCTTGGCGGTTTGCAGGATGGTTGAGAGATACAAGTGCAGGTTGCAGTTCGATAACGAGTACGACGATAGAGCTTACACAGCGATTGCAAACTGACTCTCATCGTTGCTGAAGTACTATCGGATGCTTCTACGATTGAACCGGAATTGTGTGTGGGGTCTTCATCAAACTCAGCTTCAGACCTCAATCGTGCCGTCGAGACGTTGCTTGAAACCGTAGCGGTCTTTCCCTGTCGCAGTTGAAGTCACGCATGCAACTAAGCTCAGCTTGAAAATTTATGTTTTGCTGCATTATACGAGAACGGCGACAGACTACCCGTCACTCGCTTGCACCTGAGGCAGAAATTCTAAAGCGGCTGGACCATCAGACGGAGCTCTTGAGCCTGCTCGTTTCGACGCTCCGACTGCATCTCTCAGAGAAATCCACGGAGCCTCGTCAAACACTGGAAAGACCTCTGCCGCAACAAGGAAGCCTCCCTTGGGGATGCGGAGGCCGAGGGTCGCAGACAAGACTTAGACAGAGGATGGGTCCACAAGCTTTGGATGTGTAGCTTTCACTAGCCTTGCTGGCCAGAATCAGCCTGGAGCGGCCTGAAGTTGCCGCCTGCCACAGCAGTGGCTGCAACAGTGGCTGCAACAGCGGCTGCCACAGCAGTGGCTCTCAGCCGGTTCGGGCGAAGGCCTCGAACTGAAGCTGCTTTTCCTCGCGTCACAGGTGAGTTCGGTTCAGGTGTGTCAATGCTTTGCCTTGGCTTAGCACAGTGGGGCTTTCGCACCGAAGGTTGCTTGTAGCTGTAGCTGATGCAACAAAAGTAGACACCTGCTGCTCCCACCGTTCTCGGAAGGATCCTGTCCGAAAGGGAGCACGCATCTCTCCGCCTGCCGGAGGTGAATTACGACGAGCCAGCTCGGCCCAAAAGAACTTCGTTTACGTGATGCACTCAGTACTTCTGCAGAATACGACCTTGAACTCTGGACACGACCATTGTGCCCAGGCCCCATCTCTTCAAGACCTTCTCGCAGACCGAGCTAAGCCGGCGCCGGGAGGTGGGGAAACAGGGGTTTGTGGTTGCAGTTCACATAGCACCCCGAGCCCAATCGTCGTCAGCTATCTCTGACCCGGAGGCCAAGGCTGTCTCAGTGGAGCGATCGGTGACGGCCGCGATGTCTTCGGAGGCAGGGACACACGCAGCTTTGGAGCTCACGTGACTGAGACGGTCCAGGCGCCACCGTACTGCGCAGAGCGGCTGGTGAAACATCCTGGCTTTGACCTCTTCTTCACCGTGGTGGTCGTCACGAACTCGACCCTTGCCTGCATGTCGCCAAGGTGGGCTCTTTCCCGGCTATTGCTGGCGTGATTGATTGGCAAGCTTGGCTTCGGCCCGAGATGCCAACCGCACCCGCCTCATGTGGCCAGGGATGCCACTCACGAAGACTCAACCCCCAAAACCTTCAACCTGGCAGCAAAGGATCTTTATTGGTGTGGAGCTGCAGCTCAGCATGTCAACTGGGTGCAGGTCAATCCCTGTACAGGCCGGCATCGCGCGGGTTGTTACAATTGCAGGTTGAGTCTCAAGGCCCCCTCCTGCCGAAACCATACACGCAAGCTTTGCCGCGCCGACGCAGGCTGTACAGTACGTCTACACTCTTCTCTTCACTCTCGAGCTTGTGCGACGCACCCAGCATCTGCCACGTACTCAGCAAGACTCTCGCGGCTGGTGCCCCGAAAGCGCCGCTGAGGCTCAGGGTTCTGGGGCAGGGCCCCAGCCTATTCTGGCGTGACGAGTGGACATGGGCCTGCAACTTGATCTTGCAGGGGACTTGCGATTTTCAGGCTTTCGGCCGTCGAGATGCCAGCGGTTTTTACACAGACCATGTTGTTTCCGATGGGCACGTTGACTCCTCACGGGGATCCTGAGACAGTTCTGATGGTGGAGATGCTGCTGCTGATGATGGTAGTGACAATGCAAAAGGTAGTGTCAAAGCTAACGGGTTCGATAGTGACAGTGATAATGAACATCGTGATGACCATGAACATGACAAGCGCACATTCAAAACTGTTTGTATTTGTACAGGTAGTGGCAATGGAGCTGGTGGTGGGGGTGGTAAAGGTGATGATGATGATGATGATGATGATGATGATGATGATGCTGACTTGGCGATTCGTTGCTCCTGATGCATCCAACGCAGATGCCTGCGGCGACTACGACGAAGGCAATGTCGACGGTGATGATTGTCAAGAGGGTGAGAGTGAGGGTGAGGCTGAGGGTGACGGTTTCGATTGTTGACGATATCGATGACAATGAAACTGACGAAGGGGACGACGATAACTGTATTTATGGTGGTGGCAGCGGTGATGTTGTTGATGGTTGGAGTTTCCCAACTGTCCCTGCAATGGCTGCATTGCACCCGTCTGAGGGCTTGATCTATTCATCGTCGCGACGTCCTTGTGGGAGGTGGCCGTGGATGTCTACTATTACAGCCAGGGCAATACGGAGCGACGGCCAAGCGCTGGGGTACTGGGGGCAGGGCTTTGCTTCTTTTGTGGGAGTGGATGCTGGCCGGCAGTAGGAAGAGCCCGATCACAAGTCGGTTGCATCTGCCGCAGGACCTCGCCGTCCTATCAGGCATGTCGAGCCTGAAAGCCTTCCGGATCATCCGAATCACCAGGCCGCAGAGCACACATAGCCATTGGGAACTTTGACGCTGCGAGGGATGTCGAGTGCACCGAAAGCACATTGACATGATAGCACCGAGGCTCATCAAGGCTGTCAGGCTCGTGCGGATCCTGCGCTTCGTCATGGCTTTCCGGACACTCATTGCGCTCCGGCGATCACTTCGTGACTTTGGGCTTGTTACTTCTGGCCGCGGCTGCGGCCAGCTGTCGGGGGGTCGGGCTATGTGGGTGTGAGAGCCTCACTACGGTTTGGGCTTGCTTTCGACATCTTTTGATCCAGGGTTAGCTGACCGGGCTGGCTAGCTGAAGCTTCAGACCTCCATCCTGCACACGCTGAAGTCGCTGTTCTGGGCCCTCATGCTGCTGGCCTTGATCATCTACGTTCGGCCCCCAGCTTTCGTCGAGGCATGTCGGCTTTCGCAAACATCCCAGACTGCCCGGGCTTCAATTGCAGTGATGAGCCGTCTTGCTTACGGCCTGCCGCACGGCTGTGCGCAACAGTCCACCGGCCCAAGCAGCCCCAGCAGTTGCTATCGCGTGAAGCCGCGTTATTTGGACTGCGGAGGCGCTTTTCTGTCCGACCATGCCTTTTGGTCACTGCGGTAGGCCGAACCGAGGAGGGTGAAATTTCAGTTTTGATAAACGTTACCCAGGTTGCTGGCACATCGCCTCAGCCCTGTTTAGGGCCTCCCAAGTTGTGGAGGCACCGATCCGATGACCGGGCAATGGGTGTACCTCCGCAGTTTGCATAGTCTCGCATCTTTGCGAGAGATGTTATGCAGCATTCAACTTCTGTGGCGCTTTCTTCTGTCCCGCGCAAAGGTATTTGCAGTCCTATTTACGCAAGCTGTGTCACCTGGCCGCCAGAGCGGAGAATCCCTCTCCTGAAGCGGTGTCTTGTGTCACGATATGTCACGATGCTTCTGGGGAATAATCACGAAAACAAGCACACACGAAGAGTCACACACACGGACGCGCAATCAGGTGCAGGTATATATCCAGAGAGAGAGAGAGAGAGATATATCGCATGCATATCTCACCAGTCGCTCCCCACATGTCGGGGGCGCTTAACGCGCGCGGGCGAGGGGGGCTTGCCTCTCTTGCCCCTAGCCCTGATGAAAGAAAGAGAGAGAGAGAGAGAGATATATATATATATATATATATGTGTGTGTGTGTGTACTACACATATGTAGGACTGTTAGGGTCTATTTGGTGCTGGGGTCGGCGGCACCGGCGGTCGCGCCTGTGCTAAAGCAAAGCTAGCAAGGCTACGCCTCGCGTGAGGCTCAGGTCCGCAGGGCGCACGCGCCCGGGGACCGAGCGCTGCCCGATTCTAGGGGCTGCGCCCACCGGCGGGCAGCGCAGGTAGCAGCCCGGACAAACCGAGATAAACTCGAGCTTCAAACCGCAAACCATCTAGAACAACATTTGGTAAGGACGGGGGGGACCTTCTCCCCGCCTCAGGGCCGCACTGATGCTGATGATGCGCTCCCGGGGTCCCCGACTGATGCTCATGATGCGCGCCCGTTGGTGGCTACCCATGGCTACCCCAAAATTACGCCAAAACAACTCGAAATTGGGTGGGTCGGCGGCACCGGCGGTCGCGCCTCTTGCCAATGCAAAGCTAGCAAGCTACGTCTGAGGCTCGGCCTCGCAGGGCGCACGCTCTCGGTCCGGCGGTCGCGCCTTTTGCTAAAGCTAAGCTAGCAAGGCTACAGGTCGCTTAAGGCCCGGACGAGCAGGGCGCATGCGCTCGGGGACCGAGCGCTGCCCGATTTAACGGCTGACGCCGCTGCCGCCGACCCCGGCAAGCGGCGACTGGCATACAACCTCATGTAGCTCGCTGCCCCGTAGCTGTTTCAAAGTCAAGCAGCCTGAAGCCGCACGCGCTACACGCAAAAAACTCTGTAGTAAAGTCCTTGTCCATTTCTCCGAAGCCTTAGCAGGCCAGCATTTCACCACGCCTCGACGATCCCTATATAAAAGGGGGGGGGAGTGGAGGGATGGCCAGAGGTGAGGTTGGGTAGGGGGCTGGGGGGCAAACGGCTAAGGAGTGGGGTAAAAGGCCTTTGAGTCATAGTACCTATTACTAACATCCGGACTCTAAATGGGGAAACATGATACAGGGGCATATATCGATGCATTAGTTGATCGCGATGGCATGCTTCGATCAGAAACTGGGATTGTCGAGCTGTTTACGGGGCCTCTGCATCTGGTACATAGTAAACCTTAACCTGGTAGATAGGAAATCTTAACAATGGTCTATCTTGAAATGCAGGTTCGCTGAAAAAGATTTCGTTGTGTCGCAGAAACAGCATATACTCTTCCACACATAAACGTGTATATATGTACACATATATAAACAGGGTGTTTTTGAGCGACGGGAGGGCCAAGTCGGTTGAGCATAAGGAACGACGTGCTGAAGGATCCCGAGTCGGGCCTTTCGCAAGCAGTTCCCCGGCTTGGGTGTGATTCGGAAGTCGCGAGTTCTTTAGGGGGTCTTGGGGGGGTGTGCACTGTAGACTGCTCCGGGGATTGCAGGATGTACGCTCAACATCCAAACACCACCGACGTTTGCATCGACCTGTCCAGCAATCGGGGTGCATGCACGAGCCGATATGATATGCAGAAACTTCCCCGATGCACACAGGATATCGATGCCAGCGTGCTCTACTTTGGTACGCTTCCGGCCGCTGAGCTGAAATGCATGCTTCTGGAGTCTCGAACCCGGGTATTCCTTAAGAAATGGCCGCCTGTTTTTGCTTGTGTCGAATCGTGGAGTGCCTTTCGGGTTCAACACAAGGCATCCAGGATTGCTTAGCATGGGTCAAACACCACCTAAACGGGGCATGCTTTCGAGGGACGCGCTCCAGGTTGCGGCCTTGATAGGGTGGGGACGACCAGACGAGCTTTGCATGATTTATGGGCTGTGCTACATGCAGAAAGTATGGAACTGCTCAAGACGGGAACGCCTGTTCTTGTAGAGGTATGTTCTGGAGGTCAAAATTTGGCTATTCGGTCTTTTTGCGTGAGAGAAAACATGACAAGGAATAGTTTTTTGCTCTGGAGGAGACGATGTTGAGCCTCTTCATGAGCATCTGCGGTGGTGTGAGTTGGGAGAATGTCCTGGCACCACTGAAGAGTATGTCCGTGATTTGGGTCCTGCTCTACCTGTTCTACATAGCCTTCACTTATTTCGCAGTAATGTTGCTTGCCAGCAGGTACCAGTTGGATTGGATTGATTGATGACAAAATCGCTTGCTTGACCTTGCATTCGCTGCCCTGCATGTGGTTGGAGCATATTGAACTCTAGCCGAGGAACGTGGTAACTGCAGCTCCTTGGACAGCAACTTTCTTTAGACTCCGTCGAAACTCAGGGCGATGTTTCGCCTCATGTTCTCTCGAGTCCGGATGCCACATCTTCGATCAAGCTCGTTTCTCCGCCTTCTTATCCGACTTACCTGTCCCCTGCAAAAAAATCCTGAAACTCCCAGATCGGTGCAAGTACGATGGCCAGACATGTCCTGGCTCGTTTATTGCAGGCAATACGTGGGTGCCTTTATGAACGTCGCTTTCTGTGGTCACCAGAGGTCTTTTGCCAGAGCGCCATTGACGGGGCCCAGAACGATCACGCATCGAAGGTGCATGCGATCCTCTCGAACAAGGAGGTCCCTCGCCTGTTCAAGCCGTGGGTGCCAACGTCTAAACTGTTTTCCTTCAACTTCAGACCTTCCGGAGCTTCCTTAGTGACGGGACGCGTGCGCCCTCGCACAAGAGTCGCTCTCCTTGATGAGAGGAGCATCTGGGAAAGATCCGGGCTTTGTTCTCCCAGTTCGGAGCAGAAGCAGCTCGGTTCTTGAAGATTCTCTCTAGAGAGCGTATAGAGTTGTCTAGAGGCTTCGAGAGCTCTTCACCTTCGCAGCTGAAGGACGGCGTCATCACCTTCGACCTCTTCCGGGAAAAGATCAAAAGTCCAGAGGTTGGGGCTGCGCTATTTGCTTTCCCGGAGCAGTTTCTGGCCTCATGGGTGCGTAGGGCCTGGACTGTTTCGATTGAGACAGGTGCGTCACTATTTCCAAACTCTGGGTTTAGACGTGTGGGCCGCCCCGATGCATCAAGACCTTATGTTTTCCGATGCATGTGCAAATAGTGCAGTGTGAAAATGTCGCGGAAACTGTGGGTCTAGGGCCAACGAAGTGCATTCGTCGTTGCAAGGATGCGTGGTCCTTCTTCAAGCTGCTGGATGAGGATGCGGGAGGGGCCGTGGAGATCGAGGAGTGCCCAGCTTACTACCAGAGTTATCAGAGGCTCCTTGAAGGCTCACCTCGCACGGCAGGATCGGGGGATCGGGTGGCATTTCGACTAGCATTTAGGTTCCGACATCTGCCAGATTCCGCTGGACCGTAGGAGCCATCGCAGCCTGCAGAAACACACATCCGTACAAGCGAGGGATGGACACCCTTGCAGCGCGAGCTATGAGAGCCTTGCAGGGTTACTTCGCAAAAGCATTGCTCGACCAAAGATGTAGAGTGCAGAGAAACGGGTTCATGCAGAAACAGTACGAGGGAACGCCGTGACAGCCTCAAACAGGGAAAGGCAGACAGGTAAGGCAGACAGGTAACGTATGTAGGCCAGCACCGGCCTTTTGCTAATCCGGCTAGCATCAGAGACCTGGATGCCAAAGAGCAACATGCACTACCCCTGCAAAGCAGGGACAGGCGGAGTTCAGCCGCCTCACTGGAAGCCAAGGTTCCTGATGGGCTGCTTACGGTTGCGTGGGCAGGCCACGGCTATGGATGTTGGAAAGCTCCTGCTCTGCAAGGGGCAATTGGCGTTGTGGTCGCCGTGAAGATGGAAGACGATGGAAGCCGCATAACACCTTAAGCAGAGCCAAGGATCATCAACGACCAGCAGTGGCTGATTCGAAACCAAGGCAGCTTACCTGTACGCCGTAACAGACGTAGCTTGCTGTGCGCTTCCACAAGTCGAGCAGCCTTGTGAGGGGCTGTGAGGGGCCTCTCCAGGCCTTGCGAGACAGCAAGATGCCAAGAGTTCGGGGCCTCTCGAGCCCGATTCTAGAGAAACTCAGCCTATGACTGAAGGCAAGTTCCACGCCTACATGGAGGTCGAGCCGCTTGGCTCCACAAGGTTTCAGCCATACGTATCAGTAGTTGGATATAGATAGAGGCGCACACGCATGCATGCACGTATGCATACACACATACATACAGGCAGACAGGGGATATGCCTTAAAAAACTAAATAGGCATTAAAATAAAGAACTGAATAGGCCTCAAAAGAACTAAATAGGCATCAAAATAAAACTACCCGGGTATCCCGAGAGACTGACAGAAAGCCAGAAAGACAGAAACAGCAGAACGACAAAAAGAAAGAAAGAAGGAAAAAAATACAGAAATAAAGAAAGAAAGACAGAAAGAAAGGACGAATGAAAGAGAAAGAAAAGATAAAGAAAGAAGGACAGAAAGAAAGGAAGAAAGAAAGAAGGAAGAAAGCAAGACATAAAGAAAGAATGCGGAATGAGAGAAAGAAAGAAAACAAAAAAGAACGAGGAAAGAGGAAAGCAAGACATAAAGAAAGAAAGAAAGACAGAACGAACGAAGGAAAGACAGAAGACAGGGAAAAGGGAAATGAAGAAAGACATAAATGAAGAGAAACAAAACAAAACGACAAAGAAAAAGAGAGACATAAAGACAGACATAAGGGAAGGACGTAAGGAAGCACGAAATAGACTCAACAACACGTGCCAACTAAACACAATAGTGAACGGAAGCAATAAAAAAAAAACGCCAGCAAACAGCAAAATAACTTAGACAAAACACGCAAGTACAAAAAGAGAGAAGAAGGAACAGCGAAGGGAAGCGCAAGAAAGAATACCAGACAAGTCGAAAGGGAAATAACAGCAACATCACCAGGAATAGTGCCCAAAAACCAGGAAAGAAAAAACAACAAAAACCAACTAGAACGCAAAAACCAACAACGACAATGAAAGCAATAAAACATCATCAACAACAACACAGCAAGACAAGCAAATCGTAACCAGCACCCCGAGTCATTGTGTTGTTGTTGGGATTCTTGATTCATTGTTGGCACTCTTGTCTAGGGGTGCGACGCTGAAATCGCTTTGGGGCAGTTTTGTTTCGGTGGCACGCCCGAACCCGGACTGGCGGAAAGTCCGATGCGCCGCATATCCTAAGGTTATCTTTTTTTTAAGGCTTAGTTTAGTGCTTCATTTTTTGATGCTTATTTAAGTGCTTAAGTTTTTTTGATGTTTATTTTGGTGCTTAAGTTTTTTTGATGCTTAGTTTAAGTTTTTTTTGATTCTCCGGTCTAGTTTTTTTGATGCCTATTTAGTTTTGTTTGATGCCTCACCCTTGGCAGACAGGCAGATAAACAGATGGGCGGATGGATCGTTAGAGCGATAGGCCGTTGGATCGATAGATAGATATCCAGATAGATAGATAGACAGATAGATGTAGATATAGATATAGACATAGATATTTAGATATAGTCATAGACAGATATAGCTAGATAGATAGCTAGATAGATAGATAAACAGATAGATATAGATGGATAGATATAGATAGATAGGTAGGTCGGTAGATAGATGGATAGATGGACAGATAGATAGATTCGATACATAGTTAGATCGACAGATCGACGGATACATCGATAAGTAGATAGGTAGATCGACAGATCGTCAGATTGATAGAGCGACAGACCGATAGATCGACAGTTACATGTATGCACATACAGATAGATATAGAGATAGAGGTTTGTGTAATCGATCGATAGATGGATGGATAGAGCTACATGCTTCTGCAGGGGAAGGCATGCCAACTGAACAAGCAGCGACTCGGTCAGTTCGGCAGAGCCAAGGCTTCGGCAGCTGAAAGAGCAAGTGTCGATCCTGACGGGCACCTGGGACCGGTTCGTGCCCGCTTGCCTGTGTTCGTTTGGCATCCGGGGTTGAAGGATATTCCATTGTGCTGCGGTTCTGCACTGAAATGTCTAGATCGCGGGCCTACAGGTGTCTAGCTAGTGTACCGCAAGCGGCGAGGGTGGCCTTAGCCATGAAGCGCCGGGCGTACCTTGAACCAGTGAGGAGTCGTGGCCCCACCCCCAACCCACCGGCAGAGGTGTCAATCTTTCGTCTGATGAGCACATAGGGCTCATCTTCGGGCAGAAGGAAGATATGAGCCTTGTCCAAGACTGTCACCATTTCCATAGGTTCGCGCCGAAGACGAGCAGAGCGCCAATTTCTTTTTTGTAATTGTTCCCTTCTGCTCTCAAGTCCTTTGGTGCCTGTGATTCGCACCTAACTTGCGGGCCCTGGAGTCTTGGTCCTCAGGAGACCTTGTGTGTGAGCCGAAACCTTGGGTCACTTACCCTCTCGGCTCAGGAGTCCCGGCCATGCGAGCCATGAGAGCACAAGCCACATGAGCTTCGGCATTGAGCCGAGGCCCGATGCTCCGTTTTGAAATGAGGAGGGGATGAGAAGCTGGAGCTATTGATGTAAAGACTTGGTTGAAGCCCGTCGCATGGAACATCTAGAAAGTTGTCGCCTCTCAGCTCGAGCTCCTGATCTCCGCACCTCCGTATCAAGATGCTAGCGAACTTGCTAGCGAAGTTCCAGCTCCGACCGGTGCTGGCCCTTCTCATGCGCGGGAAGGCCGCAGATGTAAGGTGTCTTCCGTGCGCGAGTTTCGTTGAAATGATGGCTCTCGCTGCCATCGCCGGCAGGGAAGTGCGAAATGCAGGGATTATTGAGTCGAAGAGCTGCTGGAAGCTGCAAAGATCGTGGCACCGCCAGACAGTGGCCAGGTTACCCTCTTCTAGGTCTCCCGAACCCAACGCTGTCTGCAGTCAAGACGTGCTTTCCACTTCCTGTATCCGATGCCCCAGCTGGAAGTTGCATATGATGCAGGGGTAAATCGAGGACCTGGAAATCAGAGTAACTGCTGATGACTCAAACCATGGTATCATGCTTCAAGACTTCGAGTAGTAATCATGTGGACCTTTGGAGGAACTCAGTTCAAGATTAGTTCGGGAAAATTACCTTCTGATATGCCTGCCGCGCTTTCGCTGTTCCTTGAGGGAGGCCGAGGACTTCCGGTTCTTTGAAGGTGCAAGTGTAGGCCAAAAGCCAGGAATTGCCTGAGAGGTTTTCAGGCAGGCTTGACAGGTGAATCTTCTGCAGCTTTCAGGCAGTCCTCACAGTTCCGAAATGTGAACTTGTCGAAAGGGCTGCAGGACTCCAGTTGGGCTTTTGGCCGGGGGGCCGAGGGGTGAACAAACCACCTCGCTTGCCTTGGGCCTGCGCCTGCGTTCGGGACTCGAAGAAGTGGGCCTTTGAGGCCAAACGATATCAAGAGCTTCATGCTACTGTGCTACAAAGGAAGTCCACTGGTCCCGAACAGTTGGGTTAAAGTTCTCTGAGCGCTCAGTCCTACACCGGATTGCCCCCACACACGGCTGACCAGATGCAGTCTGAGAAAGACCCAGCCCGAAATCTACAGGCTCGTGCAGCTTTCTCAAACTTGGCAATCCGGCCTCCGTGAATGTAAATCTGCGGTGCCATACGACTTTGGGGCGGTTGCCGGCAAGTCGGACCGATCGCTTCAAGTTTCGCCTCTGCCATGTTGACGTTCCGAGCACCGAAAAAGCCGTGTGCGGCCGGGTGTTGGGAGGTGAAATCAAGTGTTCAAAATAGGAATCTTGACGGATGCCAGTGCCAGGCGAGACATTCGTTCGTATTCTAGTTGGGTTTCTTGTGCTCTTGGATCAAACTCTCCGCGCCATTGCGTGGCCGCGTGTTCGACATAGCAAAGCGCACGGCACAGTGCCGCAGACAGACCTTTCTGTCAACCACAGGCTGGACATAGTCTTCACCAGACAAGCGGACAATCACACCCTTCTAGGCTGCACAGGGAAAACCTCTCAGCATGCATTTGTCCATGGTCTCCTCATGTAGTGAACCCGGCCTGTTGGCCATCAGGGGCACATCTGTAGTCCCAATCCCCCCCTGGAAGATTTCTTTTCAGTTGCCTAATGCCCAGGCAAAACATGGAAGACCTACCCGTTGCTTGGCCGTTGCTTGGGGTAGCCGCAAAGCATCGGGCGGTCCTGTCATCCCGCATATCCCCCTACTTGGCAGACCTCAGCTCGGGCCTTGATCCCGTCGTAACATCTTTTTATTACGTGCAGGTGATGATCCATCCGGTGGAGACAGGGGGCATCTAAGGTACCGCTACCAGCCACACAGCAAGGAGTCCGTGCCGTGCCGCCTCGCCCCTCACCATGCGCGCCTGGACCACCGCGCACACTACCCCTTCGAGGTGACCAGTCGCTCAGCAAGCAACAGACCTTCAACGTACTGAAAAGCAAAGCAAGGGATCGGCGATGTGCTGCCTGTGGGTGTGTGAGTTAACCCCATGTTGGGAGCAGTACTTGCCACACGGCCAACCCAAGGCAAGAGTGACCTTACCTCTGCTTACAGCCTGACGGACCACAATCCGTACTGTCTCTGGGCTTCTATCTTGTGCCACGTGTCTGGGCTGAGTCGCGAATGTCAGGGTTACGACGCGACTTCTGATGTTTTTTGTTAGTTTCACGTTTGGAGCGGTTTCGTTTCCGATGGAAGCGCTTGTGGTCTGAAGCCCCGCATTGAAGCAAGCGTCGCAAAGGCCCAAGTCGAATGCTCAGACTGATTCTGCTGCCAAGTCGAGTGTAAGTGCTCATGACCTCCTGAAGCACAGCATGCTTTGCAGTTTGTAGCTCTTCAGCAGTATCCGGCACTGGGTCCTTTGAGTGTTCAGTGGCCACTTGTCAATTTCTTAAGAGGGCCGCTTCATGTCACGAGGCTATACCCCCGTGAGCTTCGCGCACCGCGTCGCCCAGCGCTTGTTGGAGGGCGAGGCCCCTTCTCCGCTGACGATGCGAGTCTAAGCTTTTGCTTCAACCCACAGAGGCACAAAAAAGCCCAAAACTTGCTCCGGCCCCACAGCGACAATCCGGATCGTGGAGGAGTTGCAAAGCTTCCCGAGTCCAAGCAAGCCGCGCTATCTCGGAGGAGTCCGTCCTGGGCCTGTTTGCATCGCATCTTGCTTTGTTTGGGCGGGCACGGGACCGTGTACTTGTTGCTTTATCTTGCCGTTTAAAATTTAGGATCAAAGACCGATGGGGGTCTGATTGAACGTTTGTGCTGCATGACGCACATTTGCGTGTTGAATGCTTGACGATGCCTAGCAGTGTCTCCTTGGCACGTCTGTGACAAGTTCTGAGGAACCCGTTCCCAGAGAAGGCTCCAGCTTTCGTCCGAGCCCGCGCCTCAGCCCTGCGAACTGTGGAGGCTTCTCCCGGGCCCCAGTGCGACTGCCGAGGTCACAGGCTACGGGCTGAGCCCGTGCAGCATCGCCCACCACCAGAAGACGGGGAGCCCCGCCTGCAGTGGAATCAAGGTGCTCACATCGTGTCGCAGCGTAGCACAGGCTTCGGGACTGCTGCCCTGGCTTGATCGCAACCAAAGAATGACTCAGTACCCTTACAGAGGATGAGAGCGCACAGAGGATCCTTGCGAGTGTTCCAGCTGTCCAGCCTGTCATGCAGTTGGTTTCATTCTGCTAGTCGTGTCCTGCCAGTGACTACGAGCTGAGCCATCTTCTCAGGAACTGGTGGCATGCACAGCAGTTGTGCGAGGTCGTGCCTCCGCGACCTTCGCCTGCTATTGGTTGATGATGCTGACTTCAAACCCCTTAACTCGTTGATGGAACTTGGCCACCTGAAGAGGAGGTTCCTGGGATCCGTGCACACGGGTACCAAGGCCCGAGCAGAAACATAGTTGGGCGATGTGCTTGGACCCAGGTCAAACTGATCCCAGCATTTGGCAGCGGTGGGTTCCGCACGCCGAGTGCTTCCACCCAGAGCATGACACTTGTCCCGCAACCTTGGAGCCAAACTTGGCCTCTTCTCTTCTGCACGGTCAGGAACACACGGGAGTCAAAGCAACAGGATATCAGGAAGCGATCTGACAGAACACCGGAGGCGATTCTTTTCCGCAGCTTTGCTCGCAGCATCTTGCAGCGCAATCCACCCCTGTGCGCGTGCCCAGTAGATCCTAGCCCGAGCCATGCAGCTGAACTTCAAGCCCCGAGGCTGAATTGAAGCCTGCCGCTTTCAGTTCGCTTTGCCATTTAAACACTACACTACATGGCCACCGGGCCCGAAGACCAGGGCTGCTTTCCCGGACAGTAAGGTTTTCCCCTTGACCATGCCGGGGTCGTGTTCTTCACGGGGGACCCGTCGACAGTCTTTGGGGTCATTTAGGGCCTTTTTCGAGGCTTCCGCTTCCTCGCCCCGCTCCCTGAGGCTCTGCCTCGCCGCGGCGGCGGCGGCCATGGCGGCGCGCATGGCTCCCTGGGCCTTCGCGCCGGCCGGCTTCCAGGTGCGTGTATGCCGATGGCGGGGGACGCGGGATGCTGTAACTGCTGGGGAGTAGTAGTGACCCGCAGCCCGATGGCACATCGCAGGGCAGAGGGTGATTGTTCGTCCTAGCACTAGCTAGCATCCTCCAAGAGCCTTCTGTCACCTACGTGGTGCATCCGCTCAACTCCAGTTGGTTCAATTTGTCCTCGTCTGCAAGCCGACAAGCAGGTGCAGTCGCAGTCCATGTCGCGCCCATCTCTCGCGGCCCCTTGGTGGCAGTCGATTTCAGGTCGAGAATTGAGAATGTTGCACTGGGTATCGTCCAGGTTCATGAGACAGGACTTCCCTCCAATACAGTATCAGTACTCTTCGTGCAGCAGCCCATATCTGATGCCATATCTGCTTCGCTGTCATCACTTCGCTCTGCTGGCTATCGAGGCATCTGCACCCTCACAAGGTCAGGCGGGAACCTTTGCCATGGCGGGCGCAGCAGCGGCCGGTAGCTCGGCCTGGCACCGTGAGTTATGTCGATGCTGTAGCATTATGTTTTGTAGCAATGAAAGCAGTCATGATGTTCATGAAACTACCGCAATCATGACAAGAATGGTACTAGTATTGTGAAGAAGGCGAATCGAAATTCGCAACATGCAGACGGTAAGTACACCGGTAGTGATGATACCAGCGAGGGCAATCAGAAGTGAACGCCTGGTCAATGATTGGGTGTGTCATGCATCCTCTACGCCGAAGCAGGGGGGCTAATAGGTTGGCAGTCGAACACTACAGCTAGCTGAAGCAATTGCGGGAACGCAGAGTATGCCACGCCCAAGCCAGCGGTGTTTTTGTCGTTTTCAGTGGAGGACTTTGACAAAAAAAATTGCCGCTGAGTTTTCGTTAAAACCGGTACAAGTGTATTCAGAGCCTCCATCCATACTGTCGAAGTCCTGTTGAGAGAAGCGAAGGTTGACAAGTTTTCAGGTCATTGTATTTATGTGTGGCTAGGCTAGGCCGCCCTCTTTCTTGCAGGTCTCTTGGACTGTTGCAAGTGTATCGCTACAGTATACAATAGTTGCCGTAGGCAGCACCGTACGTGGATTGCTTGCCACCATCGGCAGCATCACAAAGCAACGGGGATGCGATTGCGTACAGAACTGCCCAAGCCCGCAAGGTTTTTTGAGGTAATGTCATGTAACTAAATGTAATGTAATATAGTGTTGGGACTGAGATGTGGCATGAAGCGGAATGGAACAGGACGCAATGCAATAAAATGCAATGTAATGTATTGGAGTGTGATCTGATGTGCTGTTATGCGTGTTCTGTTCTGATTTCTTCTCTTCTCTACTGTTCTGCCGTGTAGAGCAATGCCACGTTGTTTCGTGTTAGGTTAGGCCCGGTTTGGCAAGGTGAGGTTAGGTGCTTGCTCTTGCCATGCGCATGTTCAGTGGAACTCAGCGGTAGTGCTTAGGCCTGGCTCTGGGAGCAGCAGCGGCTGCTGGCCGCAGCGCACGTGCCTCCGCCATGGCACGGCGTTCGCACGCAGTGCCCAGTCGCAAGGGAACCGGAAATCTGTGGGACTGCATGGGCTGTGGCTTGGAGCGTTTCTGTGCAGCAAAGGTGAAAATCTACGACACTTGCATCGGCTGCACTCTGTGCGTGCGTGCATGCCCCACAGATGTGCTTGAGATGGTCCCGGCCACCATCAACGCAGCCAAGCAGGTGGCTTCGTCCCCGCGAGTGGAGGCTCGAAAGGGGCGCCTGGATCGGAACAAGCCCGAGATAGTGATGCTGCGCGGTCAGGATTGCGTTGGCTGCAAACGCTGCGAGACGGCCTGCCCCACCGACTTCCTGAGCATTCGTGTCTACCTTCAGGAGAGAAGTGTGCATGGGCCTTCAGGGTGCTGCAAAGCATTGCGTGCCAGCTGCAGTTGCTGGCCTGCTTCAGCTCCTATCCGGTCTCCGGTTTTGAGTTGAAGACAGTGCAAAAGCACTCGAGAGGGCGGTTTTTTGGCCACCAGGACAACGAGGAGACCCAGTACAGCTTGGGCCTGGATCTGGTGGACTGGCTCCCCGGCCTGGAACCACTTATGGGCATCCTCAATCGGATTTTGAAGTCCATGGCAGAACTTGCGAGCATAGCTGAGGTCGTAAGAAGCCCTCTGAGAGAGTAGGGACCTGGAGCACGTCTCACGTAAAACCCAGGAGCTTTAGTTGAACAGTCTTGGATCGCTGCCATGGAGTAGTATGAGTTCGTTGTGTCAGATGTCAAAGCTTTACGGTTTCGTACGGTTTCCTTTTCTGGTTTCTCTGATCGTTCTATGATGCGCTTGTCGGGCTGTTGGATTGTGAAGTTCTACCAGGTTCTACCATTGTGCCATTGTGTTCTTACGAACAGCACCAAACTTGAAGGTGGATGAGCTCTGATGAGTGTAGCCTTAAGTTTGACCCTAGGGTCGAACCTCGCCTCAAGTACTGAAACGGGGGTTAGCAGCCTACGCCAGCTTAAAGCACTCCGGACAACTCGCTTGCTACCAGATCCTGCGGCAAGAGGCCTTGCCACTCTTTTTAAAGCGAGCGCACGACGGCCCAGAGATAAGCGCGCCCAGATCTGTGTTCTTGTTTCGGGACTTTGCATAAATTGCCATAAGACTTTTCTGTAGAAGTTTTACGGGCCTCTTATTACGAGTGCCGAAGTCTGGGTTCTTGTTTGGAACTCGGTTTAGCTTACCATGACAGGTTTTTTTTCTGTGTGCTTTGCTTATTATTGTACAGGTTTAGGAATGCTTATTACGATGGATGAGTCAGTTTTACTGATGGAGTCTCTGGGCCCGGCTGGGAGGGTTCGGGGGATGCCAGTCTTGCGAGAGGAAAAAGTAAGAGCTGCGAGAAGCTGTGCCAGCTTTCATGGTTTGTCATTCCTGCGAGAAGCAGGGACCTCAAGCGCACAGCGTGCGATTTCCTGGGCTTGTTTTGCAGATGAAAGGAAGTATGGCGAAGCCGCAGTGGCCCGGTACAGGCCAGAGGGAGAAGCGTTTGGGCCTATGCCTATGCACCTTTCTCCAGAGAAGCCAATGTTTTCATCCAACTGCTGGGGTTACGAAATTGACAGAGACGCCACTGATGAAACCCCGGCTTTCCTCTCCAGGTATGTCCCGCCTGCAACAGGCCCCTGAATCGCAGCAGAGACGACAGCCTGAGTTCGAGCCCGTTTGCAGGCCCTCCGTGCCAGTGACCCGAGTGATGTCGACGCAGCGGTTGTCTGCGAGGGCATCGGCAAGGACGAGGCCCCGGCACTTTGAACCAGCAGTTTTGGTTTTGTCCACGGCTGACTAGTGGCAGCGCTCCCCGAGTTCCAACTGTGAGGATTCATAGTGTGTGCAGGTGCAGCAGGGCCGGGGTTCATGCTGACTCTTCGGAGTCATGCAGAAGAGCGACGACCCCTGCTCTGGGACTCAACCTTTCTCGATGTCCAATGAGTCTCGAAACACTTCGCCCTGCATCGCACAGAGGCACCAAGCACAGAAATGAGCTCCGGAAGGAGTGACGGCTGAAGCATGAGCACTGACATATTCTCGGGAAGAGAGGAAGCACGGTCCTGGCAGACGATCCGAAGTCTCAGAGACGACATGCCGAGCAGTACACGTACGTGGACGCACGTAGACACAAAATCTGCCTCAACGCCCGGCAGGCGTTTGGAGTTTAGAGTTTTTACCAAGTCGATAATAGCTAGATAGAGCCAAGTAGTCCTGAAGCATCCTGAACCTCTATCTGCCTTAAGACGTACCAGGACGAATAGTAATTGGCATAGCAGCATTCCGGCACAGACAGTCAGGGATGAATAGATTAATATGTATAGCTATATATACATTGTTGGTTCTTTTGTTTTTTTTGGTTTCGTTAGCGTCTTTTTGTTATTTGTTTTGTCGTGACTTACGTACTTAGACTACCGGCTTGGGTCGTGACTGAGAGAATGCTGGTACAGTCAACGCACATACGCACAGGAGATCTAGCAGAAGCAAAACAAGTGAAGACGCAGGCGTCGAGGTATGGCGCATACCCGATAGATGATAGAAAACAAATATAGGCACATCGACAGAAGGATATGCAACTTGCTGAGCTCAAACATGTAGCACAGCAAGAACCCTGAGACGTGCCGAAATCACGCCAGAAAACATTCGGTTTGGCTTCTGACGATGATGCGGCTGTGGCCTGTCACAGCCAATGCAACACCTCTTTGTTTCTGCACTTTCGACCCATGTTGTCCTGACCGGTGGACTGTGAGCGAAGCAAGCAAGTTATCCTCCGTGGCGCAGAGGTCGCAGCTTTCTGGTCTGAGTTTATCCCCAGCGTGCAGCGAGCACGCGGGGACTGGGCCAGTCTTCCTTCACGAGCACGGGAGGTGGCCGACGCCTGGCCGCAACAGTACTTCCTGTGCGACAAGGATTATGCTTGTAACAGTGTGTCGGTGCCACGAGACGCCCCCAACGCATAAAGATAGATAGTGTTTTTTCGGTCGGATGTTGGCTCACTACTGGAGTGCAGTATGCTAGGCACATCATGGCCTTGCAAAGCACTGAGAGCCCCAAGCTAGGCGGGAGGCATTCAAAACCATATAGATGTTCGACCAGCCAAGAAGTCTCAAGCAAATCTTCAGACATTTGTAAGGTCAGTGTTTTGGATGTTGCTTTTTCGATTCGGATTCTGCATAAGGACGGAACAAGAAATGCATCAGTCCGACCGAAATTCGATCCGAAACTCATCGAACTTTCCCAGAAAGAACCCAGGACATAAAAGCCGTAAATTCCCCAAGCCGCGCCCCAAGCTCCAGAGCTACGTGGCTGGGTTTTGCACAGCCATTATCGAGAACCTGTGGTTAGGCTCCGCTACACTACTTGAGCGTGCTGCCTCACTCTCTTGAGGCGCTTGACTTCCCTTACGGTTCACAAGTTGAGAGACCGTATTTCTAGTCTCCTCCCTACCCGAAACATGCTCCCCGCCTCCGTGTCCGACAGACAGGTGCATAAGCTTGGCCCGTGGTGCATGTCATGCGAAGGTGTTGAGAACCAAACGTAACATCACCCACAATAGTAACCTGCGACTTTACTGATGATTAAGATTTAAAATGACCTTCATGCTAGTTTCAATCTTTGCAGAATCACACTAGTCATCGTCATAATCCCAAGCTACTACAACGACTGGTCTGGTGGGCTGCGACTGTGGCTCTAGAGCTCAGGAGCGCACGGCCCCTGCCAAACTCGCTCTTTACGAGCGCCTTCTCGCGCGCTATGCCATGGCCCTGGAATTTTCCGAGGGGTCGAAGTTGGGACCTTGTGTTGCCAGACAGGGGAGATATCGATACCTATAACTATATATATATATGTATATATATATGTCTGTCGTCTACTTGTCTATCTATCCTTCCATGTATATGAAAACAAACCACACGCACGCATGCACGTACGCATGCACGGACATACATACGGGCGCACGCACGTATGCACGCGCACACGCACGCACGCACAGGATCGCATACACATGCGCGCAGGCACGCGCGCGCGTGCACGCGCGGGCTCACAGGCACACCTAGACACAGACACAAACGATGATGGCGTGGGGCTAGCTGTATTTTGTATAGGTTGGTTAATCTTGCTCCTACGGTTTTCCACCAACCTGGACAAGAACCCGTCTGAGCATAAGTGGCGATGTTTTCCCGTTTTAGCCGGGTCTGCTGAAAAACATTTGTTTCAGTGAAAAGATGGTTTTGGGCAGGAAAAGTAGTTGTTTTTCCGTAGGAAAAAACAACTTTTTTGGAGTCTGGCCGTATTGTTTCCCAAATATTTTTTTGTTTTTTGGTTTTCCATATGAAAAAGCTGGTTTTTCATACCAACACCATCTTCGCACTCGGAAAAAGTTGGCCTTTTATTGGAAGAGTACGTTGCTGCCGTTAAGTGCGTGCTCGCGTCGAACCTGATCGATAGTTCATGGGGGGCTGATATATGTATATATAATTGTATATATATATATATATATATCTGTACAGGTATATGTGTATGTATACATCTGTATATACACATTACACATTATATACACATTACACACACAAATATATATATATATATATATATATGCACGTGTAACTATGTGTTTAAGTTTCAGTGCATGCATACAGCATACCGGAAACACATTGCATGCATACATACGTACATACATGCATACATACATACATACATACATACATACATACATACATACACACTCGTTTTTGGACTTGCTCAGGTTTTTTATGAACAAAGCCACCTCACTGCACTGCTCAGCATGTTGTGCAAGTTCCATCCACAGGTACTGCTTTTGCTTCGACAAGTTTCTCCACAGCTTGTCCAACAGATTGGCATTGCTATCCTCTTCGGCTGAACCCTCAGTGTCAAACCTGTGAACCGGGTTTCAGTTTTTAGTGTGGCATGAGGCTCTGACACACGATCTGTGTCGCCACAGGCACCTGGCGACTTCATCTGCTGCTGCACGATGTGGTTGCTGAAGGCAAGCAGGGGACACCATGGTTGCGACGCTAGCTTCTTTCGCAGACAGGGCCGTGTACGTGTTTGCGAAGCGTAGCTCAAGGATGACCATATGGGCTTATCCGGAGCATCACCTTGTTGGACTGTGGGCTTTGCATGACAGGCAAAGACGCGTATATGGACACGCTCAAGAAGCCAGGCAGCAATCGCAGAATAGCCAACACTCCATGTCCCGGAAAGAGTAAGTGTGCAAAATATGAAGTATCCCGCAACTGTTCGAGCTCTCTAGTTACTAGTTGTGCCGGGGGTCATGTGATGCAACTGGTCGTCTCGCATGTCTGGACGGATGGGGTTTGAGTCGAACATTTCGCTGACAGGCATCAACCCAGAAGCAGCAGCCACCCTGCACTACCACGAAGTACGTACGAGGTCACTGTAAATGCAGGCGGGTCGCAGTGCCCACGTTGTGAAGGCTTCATACGGATTGCCAACCCATGGAAGTCTCAGAGATTCTCGAGATTGTCAGAGCGAAGATTCGAGCACTGGAATCTGCCGTAGAGCCTTTCTTTCATGCTCGTTTGGACAAGTGCCCCCCGCGAGCCGAACCTGAGGAATCCTGAGTCGTTGCTTCCGCGGGCCGAGTGTTTCGGTTGCACCCAGAGCATCAAAGTTTTTTCCTGCCTCCCCTGGCTTGTCAGTTCTGTTCTTGCAAGCCGTTTTCGAGCTGCAGCTGCCGAAGATGGCAGGGCACCAGTGTCTCAGGAAGATCCAGGATCCACAGCTTCTGGATTTGCTGGGCCTGCTAAGACCCGCAGACCTGCTTCTCGGATGAGGGTGGGCTTGATGGATGTAGCTTCGATTCCGAGAGGAGTGATGAAGCTGTGTTATTGTCGTTACATGGTCATCTACAGGGTTTGTGCAGTTCACCCCAGGTGGCATTGAGCGTTTGGCGCCAAATCCCTTGTAGGCCTGTGACTTTCCCAGGCAGTTCGAGGACTGCAAGTTCCATTACCAGTCGCCCAGCTTGAGTTCGATTGGCCGATCACACAGCAGATTCGGAGAGCAGAAGAGGTTGCAAGAGTAATGGCTTTCGAGCTTGCAGTGTTGCAGCACTGGACTTGGTAAGTTTAATGCTTGATCACAGCATGCATAGGGTAATACATGGGACTCAGAGTTTCAAGCAGAGGATTGTAAACCCACAACTCTATTCCAACTATCTTGGCCCCCTGTACACTCACCAGCCGAGTTATGCTGCCAAGCAGCGCCCCGACCGTCGTGGTTTCCTCAAGAGCATCTGCGCCGCTTGGACAAAGCTTCACTTCAAATGTTGAATCTTTGCGATTTCTAGCTTCATCCTTCAAATGGTCCTATTTTTTAGCTCTGTGTAATCGTATTCGGGCGTCCAGTGCAGATGACTCTAGTGTTGGAATGTGCTGCACTTAGAGCCTTGTTCTAGTTTTTGCATATCTCCTTGTTGTCTCTTCGGCCGTGGCCTGGGCGGGTCAGAAAGGTCAAACGGAGCAAGCAGGGCAAGTGGCAGAAATCAAAGTCTGCACAGATTCGCACGCCGACACTGTCTAATCTTGTTATCGATTTTGGGCTTGCTACGGCCACAATCTTGCATCGGTTGTCGGAGTACAGGGGTTGTTCTTACCGTGGTTGCTAATGTCATATCGTTTTCGTGACTTCATGGCCACTCCTTTGCATCGTGTTTATGTTTCTGCTTACTGTCTTTGTTTGCGCTCTGCCTGCTTCGTGGTACTGATGCTGTTCATCCTGCTCCTATTCCTACTAAGGTTGCAGTGTTGTCGCTGCGACGGTAAAGGTCATAATTGCAATACCAAATCAAATACAAAATCAGATGCGGTCGCAAACTGTTGTTGACGAGAGAGACAGAGAGAGAGAGAGAGAGAGGGAGCGCGGTGTAGGGGGAAACCCCTGCACCACAGCCCTGAGGAAAAGGAAAGAAAAAACAGAGAGAGAGGGAGGGCTGCTCCCGCCCCAAGCCCTAAGCAAAGCAAAGAGAGAGAGAGAGAGAGACCTTCATGTTTGCACTCAGCCTCGTGATACCAAGGGCCGGGGGACTCTTAGTAGAACCACTTGACCTGCTTATCTGTACTCGGCATGCTGTGATTGTGTTCTCTAGTAGGTACAGTTCTTGGTTCGAAATCTGGGCCTCTTCATTTCGGGGGAACAGAACCCGACGACCTTTGCCCTGTACATAGAGACAGGGGGAAGCTCCGGTGAGTGCACTTTGTAGGTCCTGTTTACGGATTGGTTTCCATGCATCGTGCTACCATACTTTGTCTTGCTTCCATGCACCGAGCAACCATTGCTTTTACGAGCCCCCACAAGGCCCCCAAACAGGGGTGCGCCTCTCGGCGCGGGGAGCTTTGCACCCCTTCCCCTTTTAGAGGTTTTACTCGGTATGTCGTGTGTTGTCAGGGCCCTTCTCGTGATACATGTTTCACCTCATTGCAGACTTGGAGCCATATGCCTCGCCTGGAGTGTCCGAGTGTGAGCGCCGAAAGACTACCGTGAGACTGTCTGGATTGCCCCACCCAGGGGCCCCATGACCTTAACGCCAGCCAGTGGTGTGACCCCACGCAGGGGTCGTCGAATAACATGAATCCGACACTTTTTTCTGGGTTGCGTGTACGGGGACCCCACGACCGTAACGCCAGTCAGTGGTGTGATCCCGTGGATCGTCGAATGACCGGAATCGAACACACGCGTGTTGTTACGTGCGCGGGGACCCCACGACGACCGTAACGCAGGTCAGTGGTGTGACCCCATGGATCGTCGAATGACCTGAATCGAACACTTGTGTTTTGCTAGGTGGCCGGGGACCCCACGTCCGCAACGCCGGTCACTGGTGTCACCCCATGGATCGCCCACCGACCTAAATCGAACACATGTTTTGCTATGTATACAGCCATGTCCGTATCGCCAGTCGGTGGTGTGACCGCGTGGGTCGTCGAATGACGTGAATCGAACACTTATGTTTTGTTAGGTGGCCGCGTGGCCCCCGAATGCACTATCTGTAGAATCACTGTAGAATGGGGATGTTCGAAGTAAAATAATTCATTTGCTGCTTACGTGAGTAGTGCTCGTCGTATGAAAAGCAGTTGTGGCAACGCTTAAGCAAGGACTGGCCTCAGCATCAGAATACGCCATCATCACCGCCGCCGTCAACATCACTAGTGCTATCGCCATCACAATTACGAAAATCCGGGCTTCGTGCGAAAATCTTGGTTTCGTTTGTCCATTTGGAGAGCTTCTCAGGCATTGTGGTTGTTGTCCTGTTTTACGCTTTACACGTCATGTTGCCGTTGTTGGTGTTGTCAGCAAAAGAGTAAACTTCCTGTTGTTCCAGGGCGGCTGTACCTCCGTTGAGTCATCAGCTCGTCCAGGTAGCACAGATGTGAGACTTGGCCTCAGCACATATCGAAAGCTTGAACTTGCCATGCAGAAGACACTGCTTCTGTTCGTGCCGGTTGCGGCGGCAGTCGGAGGAGTTTGATTATGGCGGCATGTACTCCTTCGTGAAGTTCATGGCTCAGCAACCCAGCCTGTCGCCACTATGGCTGCCCAAGGCCAGGCGAGTTTCATCTTCACGGTTTCACGTATCAGAGTCTGATCACTCGGCATCCCTGGGCTTCTTCCAGCTGCACGAGCTGATCAGCTGACTATTGGTAGTCCGGTAGTCTTAACTCGGAAATCGAAATCGGAGCCTCTGAGTGGAGGCCGAGTTGCTGAATTCCGGGGCTTGGATCGTGGAGGGCTACCAGGAGCTCCGTTCCGAAAGCTTGAATGCCCCTGGACTCCTCATCATGTTGACCACGTCGGTTAGCTTACTCGGGGTTTTCGGCTCGAACAGGTTGGAACCCGGGCATGGTGCGATTTGGGGTTCGTCTCGCTTGGATGCAGCGCTTGCTGGGTACTCCAGGACCAAGGCGAGGCAACTGCATCCTCGCTGAGTGCTCCACTTGTCAGGTAGCTGGTGAGTTGCTGAGTTGAAAACTAGGCAGCTGATCCAAAGCGGTGCTGCTGCGCAAATCTGCGGCCCATTGATTTCGTAGAAATTTCAGGTTGGCATCAGTTGAGCTTGGAGCTCTGATCCTGTGACAGTTCATCAAGAGACAGGCTTGCCACCCACGGAAAAAGCTCCTGTCCAAAACGGGGGAGCATTCGCCAGCTGTCATGATATCTGTGAGTATGGATTAAGAGCTCAGCGGTAAGTTCGCGGCAAAGATACACCGCAAGGACAGTTTATAGTACAACTGCGACACTTGCCAGAAGTAGTCATTAGACTTAGAGGTGGCGGAGGACCCCTTCCGAGGATTCACGTCGCTGTGAGCGACACAAGCGGGTGCTCTTCGTCAAAACGGTCGTGGGTGCAAGCCTCAGTTCCCCAGGCTCGTTAGGCTTTGCACTTTCAATCTGTTTTCGTGTGGGGGCGGGTCGTAGCGCCAAGAGGACACCCCGGTAGACTCTTTAAGCGCATTCTGTGATGGGACAAGCAGGGGGAAAGATCGAGAAGACCGTGGAGATTCCCTATGGCTGCTTGGTGCACATCAGCATCCCCCAAGCAGTGGCCAGTTTCCAAGCGGCTCTTTTAAGTCACGCCCTTGATTCTTAGCAGCTGCCCCTAGCGCAACCCAGACCTCGAACCGAGTGTTGTGCCTGCCCGATTACATGCCGAGGTCATTGCGAAGTCGGCCTGTGGCTACTCATCTGAGTGTTCATCGATTCGGAAAGCGATGCAGCAGTCCTACTAGGTAATAGTTGCCGCGTAGTTCTTACTTGTGCCGATTGGCAAGACTGTGCAGACGCTTGGGTGAGCCAGCAGGTGCCCTATAAGTCCGATCCCAGATTCCGATCAGGGCGGAAACAAGCTCCAAAGCATCAGCACCCAGGCTCACAGACCGCGACGCGCTTTCCCAATAGCGTTTCCTTCCCCGCCTTACTCAACGATGAAAGGCCTCTGGCCATCCGACCATCCGCCACCCAGCCTGGTGTATTTGTCTCGGCCGAGGTATCGCTGCCGTGCGCATGAGGCCACTGGGCTATCCATCCGCCTCTCGGCATGCACATGGACAAGTTTCAGGAGGGTCGTAGATGCCAGTGGATTGGGAGCCACTTGGACGGCTTTTCTAAGAACACCTGCCTGTAGCCACGATGAAGGATCGCGGGCACGAAGCCTTTCACGACTTCAGAAAGGGAAGGACGGAAGCATCGCCTAAATTGGCATGCCGGGCAGTCGGGGGTATTGTCTTCACAAACAAGCTGAACGGAGACGTACCAGCGAGACGATCAAGTCTGTGATGCTGAGGACAGATGAAGTTGCTGTTCGCAGGGGCTCCCTTGCCCGACGACCGGCGACATAGCAACTATGCAGCAGGGAGTTGCTCAGGTAGGGGTCCACAACATGTGTTCTTTCGATAGTCCTCGAAATAGTCAGGCACAGCACATGCAAACACACGAAGGCCCGAGTCACATGACTGCTTCTTTGCTTCACTTGCACATGTTGGAAGATGTGTCATGCGCTGGACGACGCGTTGAGGTGGTTTGCAGGTTGGCAGCACGCTTCACCTCGTCGTCCCGACGAAAGAGCCAAGAGCCTGAGATCCGTAGCTGCCGCTTTCAACGCTGCAGCCATGCGTGCCCGGCACCGGGCCAGGGCAGGTCTAGGCCTCCACTGGTTTCAAACGAACCCGAAAAGTCTGCTTGGCTAGAGCCCTGCTAAAGGATGTGATGGCCAAATGTCGATGTGCTGCTGCAGTGCTGAATCATCCTGAGACATTCGTCAACTAGTTTGACCACAAGAACTCGTCAAGGCATGAAAAGAAAGGCCCGCGGTGTCGGTACTTGGAAGCTGAGGGGCACAAGCCCGAGATAGGTGATTGAAGCGCTGCTTGAAGATAGTTCGACTTGAAGCTCAATAGGAAGCATAGAGCGACCAAGTGACGTGAGATGTGTCGTTGTTGCCAGGGTTCACGTTTTGCTTCAATGCATGCATGGCGGTTCCAGACAATTGGGTTCGGAGACCGCGTAGAGGGTCTCAGAATCTCCGGGCATCCGAGAGCTGCCGCTCCTGCTTATGGCGAAACTTGCGGGCTCGGGATTGCGGCATGCGCCTCGCCTTGCCGCTTCGTTGGGGGTGGATTTGCAGTTCAATCCAGGCCCTGCATCTTGAACAAGCAGGAGCAGTCTTAAACTCATGCTTTTGCTTTGGCCGTTCAGTACATCTCTTTGAGCTTGCTGAGGCTCTCCGTCCATGGAAGCCGCAACACCCCTCTCCCCAACCTAGTGCGAAGCCACAAACACCCTGTTTTGGAGGTTCTGGTGTGAGGCTTGGGGCTGTTGGCAGGCCGAGGGCTATCAACTAAGGTGCTTCGAGATACATGGCTCGTTGCTGCCAACCCGGTCGTGGTACACAAGATGCTACGACATCGCTTGATGCTGGATGCTTGGTCAGTCTATCATCATGTTTTGTTGCTCCTTCCGATATTGCCGAGCTGCTCAACAACCAGAACGGTGTAATATGAACCCTAAACCCTAAACCCTAAACCCTAAGCGAGAGGGAAAAACCCTAAACCCTAAACCCTAAACCTAAACCCTGAAGCCTATGTTTGGGAGCATGCCGGGCTCAACTGTAGGATGCGCCACGAACTGCGTCGCCTGTGGCGTTCAAAGGCTCCGCCGCTTGTGAAGCCAAGCTGGCGCGAGCACATGCAGCCGGACTTTGTTTGCAAATCATTTTGCGTAGTGTGTAATGTGTCCTGTGTGACAATAGTATATACCGAGACACCTACATAGCAATCCATCTTGTTTCCGAGAAAGCTTGCCAAGGCTGGGGCGTCATCGGCCTCGCCATAGTCTATGCGAGCTCCATCCGTGCCCGGATTCCCTTTGAAGTGATAACATCGCTGGAGTTCGCGACTTCTTTGATGCTGGAGATGGGCACATCGAGACACACGCCTCGAAGCGAGTAGCCAGCGTCGTAGGCTGTTGGGGTCGCCTGGCAGCCTGCAGGCAGCCTGCGAGACGTTGAGATGCCATGGCAGCCCGATGTGCCGCAGCAAGATTGGGCTACCACCTGCAAAGAGGAAAGAGTACTCCTGCTGGTGTTACGGCAACGACTGAGCGGAGGGACCGTTGCATCTAAGCTTCATGAAATGGCAGCGCTGTCCTTGTCTTCGCCCTTGCAGTGCTGTCCTTGAGAAAGTTCCAGTGAGTTTGATGAAGTGGCAGCACTGTCCTTGTCTTCGGCTTTGCAGTGCTGTCCTTGAGAAAGTTCCAGTGATTTCTGATCATCGTGTCTGCCTTGCTTCGCCGTTCATCTTTCATGCCGACTCAGAGTCGTGGGTGGAGGCAGATCGTGCGGAAGATCTCAGGCACGGCCAAACATTCGCTTGTGCCGATAAGGGCATCAGGCTGATCAACAGCGCTTAGGCTCGGCAAGCTGGGGCCTTTTCTGTGCCAAGTTGCCTTTCCAGTGCATGGGCTGGTGGCGCTCTTCGCATCATTCATTGCTTGTGTAGGATAGAGTTGCTGTCGCTGCACCATTCGGCTTCTAGCAAGTGGTGTTTCTCCTCTAGTCCGTGGCAGTTCCCGCACAAGACATAAACTCCTTCTGCTGCCTGTGCTCTGCAGTTCTGCCTGGAGTTATGGTGCCGTGCATGGCAGCAGGTCGTGGCCCCACGAACTTCAAATACGGCTGCGGAGTGAAGGCGACTGCAAGGTCTTTGCTTCAGAGCCTGAAGCGCGATTAGTTCCAATGCCACATGCTTTGGACCTGCGCTGGCCTGTGTCATGACACCGAAGATGCCAATGGCTGCAGTGCTCCAGCATGGCGCTGCTTGTGGCACGTAAGCAGAGCTCCAGTTTTCCACCTTCGACGGCCGACGGCACGCTGGTCGACCTAGTCCTCGACGACGGGCCTGCGTCTTGTTGGCGGTTTCTTGTCACAGTACTGTGACAGAACTATGAGAGCGATTAGCGGGAGCTCGGTTGTGAAATCAGCGCGGGCAGCCTTCGAGCGCATGCATGCTTGCGCCGCCTGCGCCGCTTGCGCAAAGGCGAATGCAAGGTTTACCCAAACACGTGTTTCGGAATAGAGCGGGGCATTGATCGAAGTGAGAAGACCCCGTTCGGATGCGCGGGAGCGAAGCGCAAGGATTCCTCATGCACAGATGGAACAAGGATACAGAGCAACAGTCATGTCGCGGTGTACTACCTGCAATGTTGATTTGTGCCTTCGCTGGATGTGCGATTCGAGAAGATTTGAGGAAAGATGCTCGGACGTCTGGCTGGCTCGGCCGTAGCAACTTGAGAGCATTTCAGAGACCGCGTGCTGCCACATTCACATGGCTTTCGGTTCCTAGCCCGCCTGACACACAGGCTCAGGTCAACCACGCCTACAGTCGATGGTCTGCTCTGCAAACTACTTGAGCACAGGACGTCGTTGGCCTGAGGACCAACTTGAACAACATTTGTGCCGGTGTTGCCGTACCTCCCCACGCCCACGGCCCCTCCTTCAGTTTGAAAGGCCCCCTCCTGTTGAACGACACGGCGTGACACGGCTCCTCTAGGGCGTAAAAGGGCAGTAGAGACAACAGTTGGAGTAGTGGGATTTTGAAAAGGTGGTAAGTTGTGTGCCAAGGCTGGCAAATGCCGCGCCAAGGCGACCACTCGGGAGGTCGAGAACGAGGAATCCTGCGACATATTGATCCGTGACTCGAGTCGAGGAGATGTGTTTTTTCATTCATTCAAAGCGCAGCGTCCGGTAGAAAGGACGCTTTGCGACCGCTCGAGAACAAGCCTTAAAGGCTCGGCGTGAAGCTGCACAACGCGCTACAGCACTACGTGCATTCTCTACAAACTGCTACT